TCCCCATGGCTGCAGGAAAAGACACTCTGAGGAGTGAGCCTTGGCTAGCGATCCAGCAGCCTGAGTCCATTCCCCAAACCCCTGGGGCACATGTGAACCATGGGGGGTGCGGGTGGGGAGGCCAAAGGCTGATCAGTTGCTGGAGGGAGCCACTGGTAACAGGGGAGGATAAGCAGGGCAGCAAGGGCTTTCCAAGAATGCTCCTGGACCATCTGTATCCAAATCACCTGGGGAGGTGATTCAATACAGATTCCAGGTTGGGCATGTTGGCTGACACCTGTATTCCCAACACTAAGATAGGGGCAGAAAGATTGCTTGAGCTTGAGATCAGCCTAGGAAACCTAGCAAAATCCATTTCTACAAAAAATTTTATAAAAGTCAGGTGTGATGATAAGCGTGTGTAGTCACAGCTACTTGGGAGGCTGAGGTGGGAGGATCACTAAAGCCCGGGAGGTCGAGGATGCATTGAGCCGTTATAGTGTCACTGGAGTCCAGCCTGGGAAACAGAGTGAGACCTCGTCTCAAAACAGACCAAAGGAAACAAAGTCCAGGTTCCTGGTCCCCACCTCCTCAGAATCTGACCTGGTATCACCCGAGAATCTGCACTTCAACAAGTATGCCTAGTCACTCTGATTCACATTGAGGTCTGAGGATCTTTGCAGCACAGAATAAAGAAGTCTGCTCCAGCTGACTTGTAGACCTGCCTACAGCAAGGGGCAGACCTTATGATGAACTAAGAAGTTCATAATAATCATCCCAGCTGATGTGGCTCAGCAGGGGAGCAGTGTCCCCATCCCCATTCCATATTTCCCTCTTGGTGTTGGGGGTCCAGTTCCATCCCACTGAGTCCACTAGAGAGGAGACCCAGAACAGGGAAAGTGATAGTGGCTGTTGCGCCCTGTTGCGTCCATCAACGTTGGATGCCTCTGGTGTTGGCTAGGACGTTTCTTCAGGTGACAGATGGACCAGGGGAAAGTTTGTTTGCCTGATAAATATCGATCCATTGGGTTTACAAGTCAGCGCCCACAGTTTCCTCACCAGCTTTCAGCCCCAGGAGGCCAGTCATCCTTCATGGACTCCATCTGTGCAGCCTGACCTTCTCTGAGAAATGGAGGGCTTGGACAGGCTCGCCATACAGTCCCACCTGATTCCTCTTCCCACCCAACCTGGGCTCCTAATAATTAGCCCCGGTTTTCTCTGCAGAGAGGAATGGTCATTTGTGCCCCTCTGAACTTCCTGCTCGCAAACTGAGCCAACAAAGATGTGTTTCTTAGGGGGATGCAGGGGTGATGGGGAGTGGGGGTAGGTGCCTGCTTCAGCCGCAGCCGCAAAGCCAAGTTTCCCTGGGGCTGGGGCAGGGGACATGGGGTGATAGATTTCGGGTCTTCTTGCTGGAAAAGAGCTCAAACAAGTGTGAAATCACCTAGCTACACCCCTTTCTCTATGGATCTAGAAGGCATTCCCGGGCTCTTTGCCTTTTTTATTTGAGATTCTAGGTAGGACTTGGGACTTCTTCAGAAAAGACTCTGGGAGGGCCCTAGGATCCAGCTACTAGGATGGGGCTCCCTGCTTCACCCTTACTTTCTCTCTGGGATGCTCCGTGGCCCCATTGTATTAGGCTTCTCCAGAGAAAAAGAACCAATAGGAGATTTATATATGTCAGAGGGAGAGATTTATTAGAAGGAATTGGCTTATGTGACGATGGAGGCTGAGAAGCCCCAAGATCTGCAGGCAGCAAGCTGGAGACCCAGGAGAGCTGATGGCATAGCTGCTGTTGGAGACTGAAGGGCTGAGGACCAGGAGGGACGATGCTGTAAGTTCTCTTCTGAAAGCTGGCAGGCTGAAGACCCAAGAACAGCAAGTATTTCAGCTTGAGTCCAAAGGCCAGAAAAGGCCAATGTCGGCTGGGCACGGTGGCTCCCACCTATAATCCCAGCACTTTGGGAGGCCAAGGTGGGTGGTTCATGAGGTCAGCAGTTTGAGACCAGCCTGGCCAATATAGTGAAATCCTGTCTCTACTAAAAATACAAAAAATTAGCTGAGCGTAGTGGCATGCACCTGTAGTTCCAGCTGCTCAAGAGGCTGAGGCAGGAGAATTGCTTGGAGCTGGGAGGTGGAGTTTCAGTGAGCCAAGATGGCACCACTGCACTCCAGCCTGGGCAACAGAGCAAGACTCCATCTCAAAAAAAAAATAAAAATAGAGAGAGAAAGACCAACATTCAAGCTCCAGCAGTTAGCAAATAGAATTCCCTCTTACTCAGCCTTTTTGTTCTATTCAGATCTTCAACTGATTGGTTGAGGCCTACCCTCATTAGTGAGAACCATCTGCTTTACTCTGTGTACTAATGCAAATCTTACCTGGAGGCTGGCTTGGCAGCTCACTCCTGTAATCATCCCAGCACGTTGGGAGGCCGAGGCGGGCAGATCACTTGAGGTAGGAGTCAAGACCAGCCTGGCTGACATGGTGAAACCCTGTCTCTACTAAAAATACAAACATTAGCCAGGCATGGTGGTATACACCTGTAATCCCAGCTACTCAGTAGGCTGAGATAGGAGAATCACTTGAACCTGGGAGGCAAAGGTTGCAGTGAGCCAAGATTGTGCCACCGCACTCCAGCCTCGGCAACGGAGCAAGACTCTAACTCAAAAAAACCCCAAACTTATCTGGAAACTCTCTCTTTCTAATAAATCACTTCTGAGAAAAAAAAAAAAAAGTCACAAAAACAACTGGTCCTATCATACCTTTCCTCTGCCTTCATTTTCCTGGTACACAGAAAACATTTTTAAAGCCCAACAATAAATCAGAAAAAAACTAAATAGTAAAAAACAAAAAGTGAAAAAGAGTAAAAGGTGCTAAAAGAGAAGGCAAAATAAGGAAAAAAAGAAAATATAAAATGATCCAGAGAGGTATCATATATACGACCAAAAATCAAGAGGTAGAAGAAAATATATTCGTCATGATGGCTATCGGTGGTCTCGGGGTGATATTAGCCATCAAAATTAATATATTTTCTTCAATGATATCAAATAAATATCAGTGCCCTTTACAGCCCGACCTTTTTTTTTTTTTTTTGAAACGGAGAGTGTCTGTCGCCAGGCTGGAGCACAGTGGCGCGATCTTGCCTCACTGCAACATCCGCCTCCTGGGTTCAAGTGATTCTCCTGCCTCAGCCTTCCGAGTAGCTGGGACCACAGGCACACACTACCATGCCCTGCAAATTCTTATATTTTCAGTAGAGACAGGGTGTAGCCTTACTTTCATAATAGAACAGCCTTTAACAGGACATGGATCACAAAAGGAAAGGAGCATATATTGACTGCTGACTATATGCATGGTACTGTTTTAGACACAAAAGCTGTCTTCTCATTTAATCTCTGCAATCGCTGTGTGAAACAGGCACTATTCCTGACTTAAGATTTTGACACCAACGCTCAGAGCAATCCATAAAACAAATGACAACATGGGTAGCCCCAGTCATTGTCCCTGTTTTTTATCCTCTGTTCAGTATCATAAGCATCTGCACTTAATGAAAAAGAAAAAGCATAAAAAGAATAGTAAAAGAAATAAAAATTTCAACAAAGAATAAAAGGAAAAATAGCCATTCTCTTACCTCTCTGGATGGGCATGGAAGTTCACCAGACTGCTAGAGAGCCGTCTCTGCTGTAAGTCCTCACTGAGCCAACTCTGTTCATCTGCTAGTCCTTCTAGCATCAGTAGCTACTGAGAAAAGAAGAAGCAGTACACAAATGACGCAGTGAGACATGAAGCCATAGTTAACCCTGAGAAACAAAAAAAATGCACGTACTATGACTTAAAAAGCCTGCTATGTTAGTACTTAAGCTTTTGATAGTATTGCATAGTTTTCCCGAGAAGCAGGAAAATGCATTAGCACGTACTATAACTTAGAAAGTCCGCTATCTTAGTACTTGAGTTTTGATAGTATTGTATAGTTTTCAAATCAATGTCATATTTTTTTTAATCTTTAAAACCCTGTAAGGTGGAATTCAAACATGGGAGCAAAAAGAATAAAAAGGAGAGAGAAGCTAGAAGCACAGGAAAGCAGCTAAGAGAAAGGAGTAAGAGGGAAGTGGGACAGGCAAGAGGGAAACATATATAACAGGAATTACCAGTATTATTCATTCATTCAATACATATTTATTGAGCACCTTCCATGGGAAAGACTCCATTCCAGGTTCTAAGGGAAAGCCTACTATCTAGTGGAGGAAAAAGACGTTCATTAATCATAGACGTGTGTCATTGTGAGTGTAATAGTGCTATAAAGATAACGAGCTATGATCACGTATAACCAACAGAGAGTTGCTGAAGGTAGAGTTGAAAGCCAGAATGGAGTGGGGTGAGTAGTTAGTAAGAGAGATGCTAATGGAGATGGGGTACAGGCAAGTAAGTCTTTTGGAAAAGAAAGGTTAAATGGGCTGCAGCTACAAAGAAAGTTGGGGCAAAAGCAGGGGTTTCTCTTTTTTTTCAACTGGGAGAAATTTGAACATGGTTAAATGCAGACAGAGAAGAAAGATTCAGTTGAGAGGGAGATGACTTACGTATGAGTGTGAGGGATAACTACTGGTATGTGTCCAAAAGAGCTGCTGCTCTTTACAGAACCACACGTCAGAAAGAGGCATCTATAGCTGCTAACAACCAAAGCAGGAAGCTTCAGAGCAGTTTCCCGATGAAATACCATTTATGAAAAACCAATACCAGGTTTATTTCACAGTAGAAAAACAAGGTTTGTGCTGGGTGTGGTGGTACGAACCTGCAGCTTCAGCTACTCAGGAGGCTGAGGCAGGAGGATTCCTTGAGCCCCAAGAGTTTGAGGCTGCAGTGAGCCATGATTGTACCACTGCACTCCAGCTTGGGTGACACAGTGAGACTCCATATATATATATATACACACACACACACACATACACACACACACACAGACACACACACATGCGGGGCGGGGAGAGAGAGAGTGTGTGTGTCTGTGAATCTATATTCCAATAACTTACCTGTTGTCTTTGGTTTTCTGGTATTTCTTGACCCTGGGATTCTACTGAAGCAACTTTTTCCCAAAGAAGTAATACTTCCTGGGTCAGGCGTTCCACAGCTGGTATGTCTTCAGGATAATCAGTTGTATTTGCAGGTCCTAGAAGTCAAAAAGTAAGTGTAAACATGAAAATAGTAATCAAATTATGCAGTTCACAAGCATAGACAAATGTTCTTGAAACAGTCTGCCTATACTTTCAAGTGAGATATTCATAAGCACCGGGCAAGGGATTCAATGTGTGCAAATACTGTCTGAAGATGCCCTACAGGTAATGTGAGATGTGAACATTTCCAATGGTGTGTAAAAAGTTTGGAAGGACCTTCATGAGGTCTTCTTTAATCTGTATTTTCCTGGTCAGAGCCTTCGTATCAGCAGCCTGCACCCGCGGCCCTTCCTCCCGCACCTGCAGCTCTTCCTCTTGCACCTGCAGCTCTTCTTCCTGCACAGCCATCATGGACTGTAGAGCAGAAAGTTCCAACTGTGAATAGAGGAAACAATATCTGCCATGTTTACATTTTAACACAGAAGCAAATTCTTTTGCATATCACATCAGTATCAGCCAGTAATGCAAGAGAAAATGAGATAAGAACACGGCTCTACAGGATCAAATAAAAAATCCATGCAGTATAGTAACAAACGATGTTTTATGGGAAGATGTAATAGTTGTTTTTAATGACATCTTCCACCATAACCGGCACCATAAAACACTTCAAATTTGTTTAATAAGCTTATTATGATACTGAAAAAGAATGGTGACCATTAGCAGAAGCAAGAAGAGATGAAGTTTTTATGTAAGTACTTCAGCTAATAGAGGAAAAAATAATAGCATTAGGATATCTCCATTTTGCAACCCTTAATGAATTAATGGATTAGGCATCAAACCCCAAAAGCTGCTAACATCACAAGAGATCACCAAACAGTACACGCCTCCAGATGGAAGAACATGCTACCACCTCTGAAGGAATCCTGCCAAAAGCTAGCACTACATGCCCTCAACTTTCAGTGTTCTCAACAGAAAATGATAAATACTTGGTTATGACAAAGTTCATTAAAACTCATCATAGGCTGGGCGCCATGGCTCATGCCTATAATACCAGCACTTTGGGAAGACCAGGTAGGTGGATCATGAGGTCAGGAGTTCGAGGCCAGCCTGACCCAAATGGTGAAATCCCGTCTCTACTAAAAATACAAAGATTACCCAGGCATGGTGGCGAATGCCAGTAATCCCAGCTATTCAGGAGGCTGAGGCAGCAGAATTGCTTGAACCGGGGAGGTGGAGGTTGCAGTCAGTGGAGATCATGCCATTGCACTCCAGCCTGGGTGACAGAGCAAGACTCTGTCTCAAAAAAAAAAAAAAAAAAAATCATGATAATACCCACACCTGCTTAACATTTACTATGCCACAGGCTCTCTAATAAATGCTTTGTATATAGTTAATTCTTTTAACAAACCCAGTGCTCTGGTTCCTGCCTACTTCTCCCACTTTAATATCTGCCATTTTACTCCTCACTCATGACTCTGTGGGTACACTCGACTGTTTCTGTTCTAGGAACACCAGACTTTCTCTTAACTTTAGGCCTTTACAACTACTACTCCCTTTGCCTGAAATATCTTTCCCAGGGCTGTCTCTTTCTGATCCTCAGGTCCTACCTTACGTCTCATCTGCTCAGAGAAGCCTTCTTTGGCCACCCTATTTAAGATGGTCTCCATCCATGTTACTTTCTATCATTTCCCTCATATCACTTACTATCATCTATAATTACATTGATCTGTTTATTGTCTGTATCTCCCCAGTGGAAATTAATTACATAGAGCCAGAGATCTTGCTGATTTCATTCACTTACCTTATCACCAGCACTAGTCCAAGATGAGAGAAGGTTCCCATATAGCTAATGAATGGAGTGAATCCTCAAAACAATCCTATGAGGTAACTACTCTTTTATACATAAGGTGACTTCTACTCTTCAATTTACAGACAAGGTGATTGAGAGAAATTAAGGAACTTGTTCAAAAATCACAGGGATAGCTAGTAAGTGGTAAATCTAGAATGTGGAGTCGGGGAAGCTGATTCAGAGACACCAGGCTATAATGTCTTCCCAGTAGATGCCGCATATCCATACAGTGTTTATGGTAAGGGCAAGTTATTTTAAATAAACCCTTTAAAGCAAGTTAGCAATAGCTAAATATCACCCCCTCAAAATACCCACTAATAGGCATTAGAATTTTATGATCCTGAAAACAGGACAGAACCAAAAAGTAACATTACTCTGGATTTGGTATATGTGAGAAAAACAGGAAGAACATGTGGAAACTAAAACACCTGACATGCATAATCAGGTAACGGCTAAGGTAGAACCACAGAAAGGAAAGGACACTAGGGGATTTTAAAAACTGGTATTTCTTCAATGCCACACATTCTCATATCCTAAAAACTAATTGCGACAAAAACATGAGTCTGTTTGTAAGCAGAAATATGGTAATAAAATCAAAAGATAAAATATGTTAATTCCATCACAAATACAAGCATATTACATGTTACAGTTCCATATTACAGATCCAGCTATGGCAAAAGGTAGAAAAAAACCTAAGGAGCTATTTAGACTAGCTAGCTAAAGTTAATTTAGGAAGCCATGATACTGACTGACCTTCTAAAAGAGATGCCAGAGTAACAAACAAGCTGTTAGTTTTAAGGCTGTAACTCTGCGCTGTGTGCCTCGTATTTCAACATCACCGTCGAATATGCAACTAGCTGTGTGTATGTTTACGAAATACATATTTCCTGTCTATATTTAATTATTTTAACAAATCTAGTGATCTGGTTCCTGCCTACATTTCCAACTTGAATATCTGCCATTTTACTCCTCACTTATGACTCTGTAGGTACACCAGATTTTTTCTGTTCTAGGAACAGAAAAAGAAAACATATACAGGAAGGGCAGGGGGAAGGGAATCTCTAAGGCTGAAAGGCGTCTTCTAAAAGAACTGACGAAAAGTCTATGCTCGAGAGAGTTAAAGCATAAGATGGGAAAAATGAATCTTAGGAAGTATGTGAAGTCACAAAAGACTGGAGTTTGAATCAAAGCTTTGGCATTTATTAGTTACATGACTATTCTCCACTCTCATTCTAAAAGAGAATCAGTGTTTCAGCTTCTTCATCTATAGTAATGGGGCCAACACCATTTACTTTGTGTAGAGTTGTAAGCATTAGTGCTAATTTAAATACCCAGCACTACTGGGTATGTTCATTGCATATGAACACTCAATAAACATTGACTATACTCAAGTTTCTCTTGTTTCATGTTTCTAATACTAATTTCATGGGTCTAATGTCATAACTCTAAGCAGCAATCACACAATGCTTCCTATTTACACTAGTGCTTTACTATTATTATTATTATTATTTTGGAGGCAGAGTTTTGCTTGTTTCCTAGGCTGGAGTCTGATGGCACGATCTCAGCTGACTGCAACCTCTGCCTCCCGGGTTCGAGTGATTCTCCTGCCTCAGCCTCCTGAGCAGCTGGGATTACAGGCACCCGCCGCCACATACGACTAATTTTTGTATTTTTAGTAGAGATGGGATTTCGCCATATTGGTCAGGCTGGTCAACTCCTGATCTCAAGTGATCAGCCCGCCTCAGCCTCCCAAGTGCTGGGATTGCAGGTGTGAACTACTGCAACCGGCCTTTAGAGTTGTTTTATTCCAATCAGCAATGGGGAGCAAGAGTTGTGTTTTTCCAGCACTTAGTAAGTTTTAATGGTCCCAATATAAAAACAGGAGCATCTTGTTACGATATTGTATATAAAAAATAACATATTTTTCCCCAAAAAGAAACAACTCATACCTGGCATTTGGACTCAGATACTCTACTTAAAGAATTATGCGCTGTTAAATAGAAACTATTTGGAAAGAAAAAATAATTGGGATTTCAAAATTAAGACTTGACTAGAAAACTCACCTGACTTACTCTTTCTTTTTTAGCCATGAGTTCAAGTTCCTCTTTGGCATTACTCAGTTCTTTTTCCAGCCCTGCCACTGTGTTCAAGTCTCCTAAAATGAAAATAGAGTGCTAGTTTTAATTGCTATTAATATAATGTGATATCAGCTGCCTCCTGTGAGTCACTTACTGAGGACACATTCCAATAATAAGAAAAAAATAAAACATATATGCAGGTTGTTCTTTGTCGCATTATTTATAATAGGAAAATACCACAATCATCCTGCATGCTATAAAGAAAAGACTGAATGAAGTATAGTATATTCACAGATGGAACTATGTATCATCGTAGAAAAGGAATAAGGACAATCTTTATGAACTTAGATGGAGTGATTTTGAAATCCCGAGAATATGTTAAGGAAAACAAGCTATGTGCTCAAGAATACATCTAAGGTAGTAGGTTTTATATTAGGAAAAGGGGGAATAAGAATATACATATATACATTACATATACACAGATGATTCATTTGCTTATTTTTACAAAAAGATATACAGGAAGAATAACCCAGAAATGAAACAGATTAACTTAAGGAGATGAGTGGAAACAGGAGAGAGGGGGTAGGAAAGAGATGGGACATCTGAGTATATCGTTTTATATACTGGAGTTTTGAACTGTATTAATGTTTAATTCTTAATATGTAAGTCACCTTGACAATTAATGGGAGATAGAAAACCTAAAATTCAATCCTAATATAAATAAATGAAACTATATAGTAAATAGATAATAAAACCACCCAGAAGAAAATAAGACAAATTAATCCAAATAATTTTTGAACTCACTAACTGAACAGTCAGTGCAAAATACCCTAAGGATAAAAAGAATTACAAAAATACCTTAAGGATAAAAAGAATTACAAAAAAATATAAACATTACATAATACATTTACTGTTCAGAGTGGTATTTATGTAGTGATTCAGGAACTACTTTTGCATATTACAGTATCCTGCAAATGTGTAAATCTTTTGAAATATATTGATGTTATAGGTAACCAGGGCTCTGAAGGAGACACAAATATGAAATGAAGGAAAAAAGAACTATATTGTTAAATTAGAATTACAGAACTCCGTATCAAATCTTCATATGTATACAAATACACACATATATTCTTAAAAATATTCACTGCTAGCTCTGTTCACTTAAAAGGGCCTACAAGCAAAAGGTATTCATGTGGCAATAAAGTCATCTTGTGCCCAGATCACAGTTTGTCAATGTCATCACCCACCAAAAGGAACCAGGGAGCTCTTTAGGATAATGGCTGATTCTGGGACTAAGGCAGGTAAAGTAAAAGGTACTCAATAAAACACCTTACTGTGCTAGAAACTATTAAAGTGCAAAAAACAAAAACAAAACCAAAAAAAACTGATGGGGATATGGCAAAGGGTCAGAGAAATAGCTTGATGAGGTTCCCACTGACTGAATTTGGGTTAATTTGAGGACTAAAGGAAATCATGACAGAAATCAATAATATAATGATTTTTTAAAATCCATATTGATAAAAACAAATGGAGTACAGAGATAGGGAAAGGACAGTTCTTCTTTATAAAATAATATCCACAAAGAAATAAAGAAGAAATTTTTTTTTTTTTTTTTTAAGATGGGGTTTCACCATGATGGCCAGGCTGGTCTTGAACTCCTGACCTCAGGTGATCCACCCACCTCAGCCTCCCAAAGTGCTAGGATTACAGGCGTGAGCCACCACGCATGGCTTAAAGAAGAAATTTTGCAAACAGAAAATCATAATTTTTTTTCTGAGACTGAGTCTCATTCTGTCAACAAGGCTGGTGTGCAGTGGGGCAACCTTTCTGCCTCCCGGATTCAAGCAGTTCTCCTGCCTCAACCTCCTGCATAGCTGGGATTACAGGCACGTACCACCATGCCCGACTAATTTCTGTATTTTTAGTAGAGACATAGCTTCATCATATTGCCCGGTCTGACCTCGAACTCCTGAGCTCAAGTGATCCACTCTCCTGGGCCTCCCAAAGTGCTGGGATTAAAGGCATGAGCCACCGTGCCCAGCTCTGAAAAATCGCTATTTTTAAGCTACCAATCTAAGAGTTGGCTCAAGCAAGGCTCAAATGATACTACAGCCACTGAGTGAATGATTGCTGGAAAACAGAACTGTCAACATCTCAAATTCAGCCAGCAGATGACTTACATATAAAAGGGAAAATGAACCTTTTGCAATGGACAGATTTGACAGCTATAACCATAACCTAATGACTAAATTTCCTATCACCAAGGATGATACAAACTGATTATCATGCACTGATGTGATGCACTAAGAAAGATGTCATCCAGGCTCACACCTGTAATCCCAGCACTTTGGGAGGCTGAGATAGGTGGATCATTTGAGGCTAGGAGTTCCAGACCAGCCTGGCCAACACGGTGAAACCCCATCTCTAAAAAAACAAAAAAAAAAAAACAAAACAAACTAGCCGAGCATGGTGACGCATGCCTGTAGTTCTAGCTCCACTTTGGGAGGCTGAGGTGGGAAGATCACTTGAACCCAGGAAGCAGAGGTTGCACTGAGCTGAGATGGCACCACTGCAATCCAGCCTGGACAATGACAGATTCTGTCTCAAAAAAAAGAGAGAGAGAGAGAGAGAGAGAGAAGAAAAGAAACGGGGTGGGGTGGGGAGGGGAGGGGAAGGGAAAAGTCATCTGTATGGTATTCCTGCCATAAATGTTTAACTGGAACCTAATCACAAGAAAACAATCATTTTAAATTAAGCAATAGTCACAGTCCTGAATTCTTCAGAAATGCCAGTCTCACCAAAAAGAAATAAAAGCTGAACAATTGTTCTAGATTAGAGGTTAAGAGACATGACAACTAACCACAATGCATAACCCCTGGGTTGGCGGGAACCAAAATAGCTATACAGAACATTATTGGGACATTAGGAACTCTGAATGTGGATTATGTATTAGACACTAAGCCTCTATCAAGGTTAAATTTTCTGAGTGTGATAACTGTATTGTAGCTATGTAGGAGAATGCTCTTGTTCTGAGGAAATGCTGATGTATGCAGCATAAAGTGTCATGATTTCTGTCAGAAATTTTCCAATGGTTCAGAAAATACATTACATCCACATATGTGTGTGTACATACAAAGAAATAAGGCAATTGTGGCAGAATGTTAATAATTGGTCTGAATAAAAATGTATATGAGTCTTCACTATACTATTATTGCCATTTTTCTGTAGGTTTGAAATTTCCAAAATACAAAATTTAGAGAAAAGTACACTTTTTAAAAAAGGCATATAAAGAATTAATAAAACAAAACCAACATTATTTTATTCTTTGATTAGTATAATGTTTTCAAACTAGAAAACTGGCAAATGACTCAATGTACACTGCCTACCCTTCCTAAGAGTTTAATGTAGGTGATGTCAAGTTATAGTGAGTGGCCCCAGACTTGAAAGATACCCGGGAAACGCTGTCAGCACATGGCCTTGCTGTGCAGGATTGGAACCACTACCTCCTGCATTTCTGAATCCCTGCGAAACTATCTGAAAAGGAGAATAAGGACAGACTTTCTCTGGGCCAAACTGTGACCCCAAAGCAACAACCTCAACTCAACATAAGGTAAGGACAGTTCTTCAGCCTTTCAGAGGAATTCCAAACTTATTTTTTCCACTAAGGTAAGAAGAGAAGAGAGTCTTAGCCAAACCTATCAATACAAAGATTAACAGAACACAAAGTCCCTGAATGAAATGAAATTTCATACTTACCTAATGTGGATCTGGGTATGCTGGCATCTTCTTTGGCAGTCAATGAAGTACTATCATCTATGGAAGGTATCTGCACTGAACCCTAAAAAATTGGGGGACTTAGGAAGATGCAGGAACTATGACCACAATGACAGCACTGAGAATATTCTCACAATTTCGTATTAAAATTATCAAACTTACACCTCAAATGTAAAAAGAAACACATTCCGCATGAATTATCTAAGTCTATAGTTCGTACTTGATCAGTCTGTTCTCCAAGAGGAGGGCCAATGGAGGGAACTTCAGCTCGTTGGTTAGAGACGGGTGCTTGGGACATCATGGAGTCTCTCCCTTCCAAATAACTGGCACAGGGCCTGTAATTCTGAATTTCTTTCCATTAAGGTTTGCACCATCTTCTCTGCAACAACCTAGTAAGAGGAAATCACAAATAATATTAGAAAGATATTCTGGGGCCGGGCACGGTGGCTCAAGCCTGTAATCCCAGCACTTTGTGAGGCCGAGGCAGGTGGATCACGAGGTCAAGAGATCGAGACCATCCTGGTCAACATGGTGAAACCCCGTCTCTACTAAAAATACAAAAAACTTTAGCTGGGCATGGTGGCACGTGCCTGTAATCCCAGCTACTCAGGAGGTTGAGGCAGGAGAATTGCCTGAACCCAGGAGGCAGAGGTTGCGGTGAGCCGAGATTGCGCCATTGCACTCCAGCCTGGGTAACAAGAGCAAAACTCCGTCTCAAAACAAAAAGAAAAAAAGAAAGATATTCTAGTAAAACAAAATTTTTTTTCTTTTTTTTTTTTCTGGTATTATTTCTTCAGAGTCAACCATTTGTAAAATTAAGCAAACAAAGAAAACAGTGGGTTCTTAGGAAACAGTTTTCCTGCTTTCAGTTTACAGGGAAAAACGCAGTTAAGATGAATGGAAAAAGTCTCATAAGTAGAACATTGGAGAAAAAACTGAATTTAACACATTTGTAACAGGTAAGAGAAAGAGAATCTGAAATAGGTTCTGCTAGAATTATCAGGCTAAGGTTCTGGAATTAAGATAACAGTTGTCTTTCTTCCTGGACAGCTGTTTCTTAGGACTGGATTGCTCTTCAAGCATTTGTATGGTTCGCTACCTTCAGGTCTTTGCCAAATGACACCTTATCAAGTTGGCCTTCCCCACACATCCTATCCAAAACAGCAATCTCGTTGGCCAAAGGGTACAAGCTTTTGGGTACACAGTGAATATGTTTTGGGAATCCGATGTATAGCATGGTGACTTTAGTTAATAATACTGCATTATTTACTTGAGTTAATAATTCTATATTATTTACTTGTAATTTGCTAAGAGAGTAGATCTTCAGTGTCTTCACCACAGATGCATGAAATCTGTAGTCAAGGACGTGTTAATTTGATCGTGGGAATCATTTCACAATGTATACAGATATCAAAACATCATGTTGCACACCTTGAGTATAGACAGTATTTGCAATTATACCTCAATAAAGCTGGGAGAAAAAAAAACTTTAAAGGACCCAGCAATCTCTTCTCTATCCCCAATATCCCTTACTGTGCTAATTTTTTTTTTTTCAATGCACTCATCATTATCTGATATGCAGCTCTCTCTGCTTCCCCTACAGGAATGTAAGTTTCCTAAAGGCAACCTGGTGCTGAATCTCAAGCACCCAGTATGGTGTCTGGCACATCACAGGCACTCACTACATATTTACTGAATGAGTCCATTACACATATTAAACATTTTTATCAGACTACATGATCAGGGGAATCTCAATACCAAAATCACCAAACTCAGTTTCATTTCAAATCCCAGTTTTCTAAGACAGATGATGACCCAATAAGGGAAACAGCTAGAACTTCTGTAACTATCAATGCACAGAAAGTCTGCAGTTAAACAGAAAATCTGGAAATAATAAATTGATATTAAAATTACTGAGGGTATAAGATGATGAATCATAACACCAACTGTCTCTGAGGAAAAGTACTGTTGTTTTAAGTGAGAGGCTGAGCTCATTTCAAAGGGAAATAGGAGATTTTTAAAAAAATTTGTTAATTGTTTATTTATCAAGAGAAACTATTTCTTAGCCCACATATTCATCTGTCATAGTTCAGGTACCCGAGTCAGTGACAAACTTCTAGGTAATTCAACCTGAAGAAATTCTTTCTATTCCAAGATCACGTTATACCACGAAAGATACCAACCTTCTTCATCTCCTCAAAATCTTTCTCGGGACTGTAATTTTTGTAGAAATCTGCGTATGCCTTCTTTCTTGGTTCAGCCACACCAAACTTATAGAGAGCTGCAACCCCCAGGGATACCAGGAACGCTTCAACCACATGAATTCGCAGACACCTGGCCAGAAGGCCACGCATCAGATGTTTTGCCAAAACTTCAGAAGCCATTTTTTTTTTAAGTTAAGCAATTATTTTATTTTCTTGGCCTGATGGCATTGACTTCATTATACAAGAACTTGCAGCTGACAGAACTAACACACAGATATCCCCCAAGAGGAAGGACCCTTTTCATTAGCAGAGATGAATTGAAATGTCATGTCTGAGTGCAATTCCTGCTCCCCACTCCCACCCCACAAAATCCCAAAAGTGAAAACAAATCAATAAAATCCCCAAGATTTACTAAAAGTCATCCCTCCAAACCTAACTAGCAGCTGCAGTGGATGATAACCAAGGAAAGCAGCAGCTGGCCATCACATAGCATTCCTGTGCTACTGAATGGGCAGCAGCATGGGAGCAAGAATCCCGAATGAGTGACAGGTGTAGATAATCTACCTTACTTCATACCTGCCCCTTCCCTTCATAAGACATCTCTGTCCTGATACATGGAAAATACTACAGGAGGTGCGAGGAGTGGTTTTAGTCTACAATAGGAAATGCCTGAGGCTTATTAAATTCCAAGGTAGGGTTGAGATAAGAAAATTTTTTTTTAAAATCAGCATGCTCCATTTATTTGTTCAGAAGAGCAGCCAGCAGCACCCCCACCGCTCAAACCTGGCACACACACTTTGGAGACAATGGCTTCGGGACCCTCCCGCAGCTGGGTCCAGGACAGGCCGTTTTGAGGCATAAACTGGGCGTCCAAGGGGAGCTGTGGCTCAGGCACTGCAGTGAAGGGGATGGCGAGGAGTCCGGCCTCACCTTGCAGTTGGGGACACCAGGGCACACACAGAGCAGGCAGGCTCATGTCCTGCTGGCCCAGGACCAGACCTCAGGGCCCCAGGAGGGTCTGCAGGCAGCTAGGAGCCCGCCAAGTGCTGCTGGAAGTAGAGGCCGAAGAGGCTGGACAGCAGCTGGCAGGCAGCTGTCCACCAGATGAGGTAGGCCAGGACACCGCGGAGGAAGAGGGGTGTGAGCAGGCCACCCAGGGCCACAGCGATCCGCGCTGCAGACTGCTGGACCTCGTTCTCCTCTGGGCCGATGGGGGCAGCGCTGGCTGAGGATGGGTAGGGGGATTAGTAGAGGGGCTGGGCCCAGGCCCTAGGAATAGCCTCCCAATGTATTGAGCAGGAGCGTGCAGTTGAGGGTAAGGATGTGCAGCGTCAGGTACTGCAAGCTCACCACAGTCACGCAGCAGTAGACCCGGACCACCCTCCACTGGATTTCATGGGCTTCGATGTGGCCAGCCTCCCTTCGCAGCTGCTCCACGTGGGCCTTGGCCAGGCACAGGTAGGCCTGCAGGTGGGGCCAGGTCACTGCCAGCCGCAGCAGGCATAGCACCACCAGCAACCAGAAGCACCCAGAGTCAAAGGCAGAGTCGGACAGCAGGGAGAAGGGCATCTCCCCAAAGGGTGGCTGGTGCAGGAAGTCCCGTGCAATGGGCTTTGTCCAGAGCCACAGGATGAACAGGGGAGACAGGAAGCTGGTGTGCAGGAGGAACTGCAGCATGGGCCGGTCCTCTGACATAGCGCGTCCCGGTGGGTCTGGACCAGCGGGAGGCCTGGGAAGGTGAGGAAGGCACCCAGCACAGAGCCAACCACCGCCAGCCCCACGTGGATAGCCAGCTTAGTCACAGGGAGTGCCCAGTCCCAGCCTTGCTTCTTCAGAAGTGGCTCCAAGTTCTGGGTCATGCTGGCCAGGCCAGGCTTCAGGCCCAGCTTCTGGGTCTCCTCCCATACCACCTGCACCAGCATGGCCAGCAGCAGGAAGAGGAAGGCAAAGGCGAGGCAGACAGAGCGCTCACCCCCCTCCTCAGAGCTGAAGTACAGCCCTGTCACCATCAGGAACGCCTTGATGGAGGCCACTGTGAGCAGGCACAGAATACAGCGATGCTGGTCTTGTTGGCTGGGCCCAGCACGTAGTGGTAGGCCTCCATGAAGAGGTACACACTACCTGAGTACACGGCAAAGTCCACGAACCACTGGTACTCCGGGAAGAAGCGCAGGACTAGGGCGTCCACGGTCATGAGGGGGCAGGTCTCCAGCTGAACGGGCATCTCGGGGCACAGACAGTGGCTTCTCCTCACTAAGGCCATCGGCCCATTGCTCCTTCCTGCCTCTGGGCCTCAGCTTCCCCGCCAGGGCCCGAAGCTCCTCCTCAGATGGGTGCTTGTATTGGAACAGACTGCCGTTGCAGAAGCAGAAGTGCAGTGCTACCCTGTGCATGAGGGTGGTGGTGAGCAGGGTCACTACCAGCTGCACTCCGAGGACTGCCATGACATGTGAGGGAGCACAATGCACGGACCCACCGACCTGGGGCTCCAGGCAATCTGTCTCATAGGGCCCACTTCACAAAGTGCCCTCACAAACCAGATGACTACTATCTCAATCTTATAGACTACTATTCTTACCCAAGAACAGGGCTCGTTAAGATGGCAGAGCCCAGTAATTGCATAAAACTTAAAACTTTATGATCAGAGTTTCAATACCTCTTCTTAACAGCGTGTTTATAATTAACTTACTCCTACTAGTTATTCTTGCCCTAATTGCTATAGCATTCTTAACACTCATAGAACAAAAAGTCTTAGGCTATATGCAATTCCGCAAAGGCCCTAATGTTGTAGGTCCCTACGGAACACTCCAACCAATCGCTGATGCAATAAAACTTTTTACAAAAGAACCCTTACTGCCTACCACATCCACCACAACTCTATATGTAACTGCCCCAACCATAGCCCTCTCCATTGCCCTCCTTCTATGAGCTCCCCTCCCTATACCATAACCCCTAATTAATTTCAATCTAGGCCTCCTATTTGTACTAGCAACATCAAGTCTAGCTGTTTACTCAATCCTATGGTCCGGATGAGCATCCAACTCAAACTACACATTAATCAGTGCACTACGAGCCATAGCTCAAACAATCTCATATGAAGTCACCCTAGCCATTGTTCTACTACCAACCCTACTAATAAGTGGCTCATTTAATTTACACTCACTAATTATAACACAAGAATACTCCTGACTCCTACTACCAGCATGACCCCCCTGGCCATGATATGATTTATTTCCGCATTAGCAGAAACTAACCGAGCCCCCTTTGACTTAACAGAAGGCAAATCAGAACTAGTTTCAGGTTTTAATATTGAGTACACTGCAGGCTCATTTGCTCTATTCTTCATAGCAGAGTATATAAATATTATCATAATAAATGCCCTAACCACTACCATCTTTATAGCAGCACCTTACAACATAACTATATCAAAACTCTACACAATAAATTTTATAATCAAACCCCTTCTATTAACCACTCTATTTTTATGAATCCGAACTGCATACCTCCGATTTCGCTATGATCAATTAATACATCTCCTATGAAAAAAATTTTTACCACTTACACTAGCACTATGCATATATTTCAATACCTATCCTAATATCTGGTATTCCACCCCAAACATAAGAAATATATCTGACAAAAGAATTACTTTGATAGAGTAAGTTATAGAGGTTTAAATCCTCTTATTTCTAGAATTATAGGAATTGAACCCATACCTGAGAACTCAAAACTTTCCGTGCTACCTATTACACCATATTCTAAGTAATAAGGTCAGCTAAATAAGCTATCTGGCCCATACCCCGAAAATGTTGGTTTAATCCTTCCAGTACTAATATCAACCCCCTAGCCCACCTCATTATCTCCCTTACTATCCTAATAGGAATCATAATTACAATTTTAAGCTCACACTGATTTCTAATCTGAATAGGCTTAGAATCAAATTATTAGCCATCGTACCAATACTAGCTAAAAACACAAGCTCAACAGAAGCATCCACTAAGTATTTCCTAATACAAGCAACCGCATCTATAATCCTCCTAATAGCCATCTTTCTCAACAACCTATCTTCCGGACAATGAACAATTAACACACCCCTTAATCAAATTCTATCGACAATAATACTAATCGCCCTAGTAATAAAACTAGGAATAGCCCCCCTTCACTTCTGACTCCCAGAAGTAACCCAAGGCATCCCCCAATCCCCGCCATGCTCATTCTTACACGACAAAAACTAGCCCCTATATCAATTATTCTTCAAATTTTCTCATCAATCAACTTAAATATTCTGTTAGCAATCTCAATTCTATCAATTATAATCGGCAGCTGAGGGGGGACTTAACCAAACACAACTAGGCAAAATCCTAGCTTACTCCTCAATCGCCCATATAGGGTGAATGATAGCAGTACTATTCTACGACCCAAACATTAGCATTCTAAGCTTACTCATCTATATCTTCTTAACAACCTCTATATTCACAATTTTCTATTTAAGCTCAAATGTAACAACGCTATCACTATCCCACACCTGAAATAAATTCACATGAATAATGCCCATAATTCCAATAATAATAATATCTTTAGGAGGCCTGCCCCCACTAACAGGCTTTTCTCCTAAATGAGCTATTATACAAAAACTTACAAAAAATGATAATCTCATCTTTCCTCTTACTATAGCTATATTAACACTAATAAACTTATACTTTTACATACACCTAACATACTCCATTTCAATAACAATGTTCCCCACGTCCAATAACACAAAAATCTGCTGACAACTGAAATATATAAAGCCAGCACCACTTCTACCCCCACTTATGATTTCTTCTACCTTTTTACTACCTGTAACACCACTAATACTAATAATCTAGAAATTTAGGTTAATAAGACCAAGAGCCTTCAAAGCCCTTAGTAAGTAGATTTTACTTAATTTCTGCACCACTCTTAGGACTGCAAACTTTATTTTGCATCAACTGAACGCAAATCAATTACTTTAATTAAGCTAAGCCCTCCCTAGATTGATGGGACTTTAACCCACAAAAATTTAGTTAACAGCTAAATAACCTAGTCAACCAGGTTCAGTCTACTTCTCCCGCCGTAAAGGAAAAAAAGGCGGGGGAAGTCTCGGCAGCATTGAAGCTGCTTCTTTGAATTTGCAATTCAATATGGAAATTCACCTCAGAGCTGGCAAAAACAGGGCTATTCCTCTGTCTTTAGATTTACAGTCGAACGCTTACTCAGCCATTTTACCTTTTTCTACCTATGTTCATAAACTGCTGACTATTTTCAACTAACCATAAAGATATCAGAACACTATATTATTTGGTGCATGAGCTGGGGCAGTAGGAACAGCCCTAAGCCTCCTAATTCGAGCAGAGCTAGGTCAACCAGAGAGCCTGATAGAAGATGACCACTTTTACAACGTTATTGTTACCTCTCTCGCATTCATTATAATCTTCTTTATAGTAATACCAATTATAATTGGAGGTTTTGGAAATTGACTTATCCCTCTAATAATTGGTGCTCCCTACATAGCATTCCCTCGAATAAATAATATAAGCTTCTGACTTCCACCCCCATCACTTCTTCTACTCGCATCCTCAACTCTAGGAGCCAGTGCCGGAACTGGCTGAACAGTTTACCCACCCCTAGCAGGGAATATATCACACCCAGGAGTCTCTGTAGACTTAACTA